GAGAGACAGACAGACAGACAGGGAGAGAGAGAGAGAGAGACAGACAGACAGACAGGGAGAGAGAGAGAGAGACAGACAGACAGACAGGGGGAGAGAGAGACAGACAGGGGGAGAGAGAGACAGACAGAGAGAGAGAGACAGACAGAGAAAGAGAGAGACAGACAGAGAAAGAGAGAGACAGACAGAGAAAGAGAGAGACAGACAGAGAAAGAGAGAGACAGACAGACAGGAAGACAGATAGACAGGAAGACAGATAGACAGGAAGACAGATAGACAGGAAGACAGAGATGGTGGCTCTGAGTAAACCGAGCAATTACTCTGCAAGTCAAGATGGAGTCCAAAAGAAACTTGACTTACTTGTTAATGCTGGATGGACAGAGTAGTTTTGCCCATAGTAGCTGCCACTGCTTACTTCATTCCGGCTTTGTTCCTCAATCCTTTGGATTCGAATCGCTTCTCTCTTTTCTCGCTCCTTCCTCTCCCTTCTCTTTGCATCACGCTTCATCCGTTTCTCTTCTTCAACTCTCATCCGTTCAGCTTCTTCTCGCTGTTGCTGCATCTTCTTTTCTTCAAGGACCTTTTGCCGGTCAGAAAAGGTCCGTTTCCGCCTTCAACTTTGGAGATGGTTCATTCATTTTGTCTTTTCACTTGAGGAGAGGCAAAAAAAAAAAAAAAAAAAAAAACCGAAGACAAAAAAAAAAAAAAATCAGAACAAGGTTCTGAAAAGTAAAACAATCTTGCAAAATCATAAAAGACAAATATTTTGATAATACAAGTGTTGTAGTCAGATTTCATCCAATTCGCAAACATTTAATTGAAAAAATCTTATTTATGTTTGATATTTGTTAGTTTTTCTCTTAATCCATGGTACTTAAAAACACATGGTAACTATATAATAGACGGGTCAGTAAAGTTTTATTGAATTCCATCCAACACTGACCTATGATAGCCAATAAAACAGCTATTCCTATTTGGCTTATAAAACATGGACAAGTGACTATTTGATTTGATTCTGAAAACATTTTATTGGAAACTAAAATTCAAGATCAACACGGTAGTAAACAAAAGTATCATAGATTTATTTATTTTTTCACACATTACCTTAGTCATCAGAAGTGTGAGGCAGGAATCCAGTTCTCCCTGAATTTCATATATCTAAATGGAGATGCATCATAGCATAAAATGTTAAATAGAACTGGCAAACCAAGTTCAAATTTTAGCGGGTGTTGCTTATAGAGACATAGCACTAATTCCTTCAGGAAAATGGCATGAAACCAGTTCTCCCTACATTCTATACATATATATTACATATATTATTAATTAAAGAATATTGAACACTTAAAATCCCATAGGTAATAATTTTTATTTCATTAGGGCTCTAAAAAACAGCAGCTCTTAATCTTCAAGACCTACCTGAATCTATTTGTTAGTTTAAACTTACTCTCAACAGATTGAGAGATTAACATAATATGCACTTTGCACTATAAGTATTATTGTAGTTTAAATTCACATCAGTTCATTATAAAAAAAAAAAAAATGCAACATTAAGATTTTTTTTAATAATAACATTCACCTAATACAAGGCCCAAGAGTCACTCAAGGTAGAAAGTTACTGTATGAGTGTAAGAAAAGGCAAGAAGTGAAGTTCATGGGATTATGCAGCAAAGATAACAGTTAACCCTAGACGTGAAGAGATCAAGATTATAGCGATTGGGAAAACATCCTCCGCCTTAATGATGGAATACAAATAGAATGGGGATGATTGACACTTGTGCACATGGTATGGTGGGTCCCAGTTGTAAGGGTCAGGGCTGGTGAGATTAAGGAATGTAGCTTGTCAGAACACATGCCATGGAAATAGCGATAGAGCAGCAAGAGAATAGCGAGATTTTGTCTTTGGGAAATGGGTTGTAAAAATGATTGTTTATTTTAAGGAAACATCTCAAAGCATACAGCTTTTCAGAGACGCTGATGCATTTGAAATTCTAATTACTGTATTCGGTAATGCATAAAACACTACTCACCCAGTTGGGAAAATTAAATGAACCATTCTTGGATGGTCCTGGAACTTCATCCAGTTAAAGATTTATGAAGTTGTAAAAAAAAAAAAAAGGACTGTGAAAATAGATTGGAACTGGCTTACTGTAAGAGATGAAGTGTAAGAGTGTCTATGTTTCTGAGATTAGGTATTATGTACATTATTCGGAGTATAGTCCTCATCTTTGTCGCCATATTTATCACAACGTTTCGGCCGTTGTACGCTCCGGCCTTCTTCAGGTGGTTGGAATGTCGAACTGAACCCTTTATTTCGCTCACCGGGGTAGACTGTTCTAGTTCTACGTGCCATGTTTGATGGATGTCAGTTATCAGTTATCTCCTGTTAATTTCCCTCTGAAAGTTCTCCACTGCCTTAACCGGGTATTGAGCTCACACTCTTTCGGTCCTGTCACTGGATCTAACCAACGCCTTTATCCACTGTGCCATGTATCCTTGAGGACATTTGGACTAATATCCTCATCTCTGCTATTATCATCACAATGTTTTGGGTGTTGTGCAAAGGATTCAACAGCAGCAGCAGTAAGAAAGAGAAACAGTAGGTGAAGGAAGTTAAGCATAAATAAGAGTAGCAGGAGCAGCAGCAGTAGGGAGGCGGGCAATGTGACCTTTAGATTCATGGTTTCCAATTCTAGATTCAACCAAGAGTGTTAAAGTGTTGTTTTTCAAATTTGGTGGCATAGTAATTGTGAGTTCAGTCCCTGGGATAAGTAGTACAGAATCAGATAAAACAGTAGAAATAACCAAAAAAGACAAGATGTCCCTTGACCTGGAATGCAGAACAAGAACCTAATTTTGTGGATCAAATGAAGAATTCAGTTCAAAATTCCCTAAAGGTAACTTCAGACAGCTGAAGAAGGCCAGAGGGCACAACAGCTGAAACAGTGTTGCAATAATAAAGATGAGGATATTAGTCTGAAGGTAAATAATGATAACTCTTTATCCCAGAAATTCAGGGAGAAGGTGATCAGGTGATAACAACAACAAAGATGAGGATATTAGTTTGATTGTAAATACTGATAATTCCTCATCCTAGAAAATCAGACAGAAGGCGATCACGCGATAATGACAACAAAGATGAAAACATTAGTCTGAATGTAAATGATAACTCTTCATCTCAGAAAATCAGAGAGAGGATGATCAGGTGATAACAACAACAAGGATGAGGATATTAGTCTGAATGTAAATAATTGCTGTAGCATACCTATGGATGATAATGAGTAGGTCCCCATTCCCATAAATACAGGAGTAAACACTGTATGTTGGTCTGTAGTTGGAAATTCATTGTGAAATTTACTTGACTCACTTATAACAGTTTACTACTTCTATGCACCACTGGTGAATCTTATATGTGTTGTTCTTGTCCTAAGTATTATCATTCATTACCAACCTTCATTTGATTATTCTATTCAGTAACGTTCCCTAGGTTACAACAATAATGATAATTCCTTATCCCAGAAATTCAGACAGAAGGCAATTAGGTAATAACAACAAAGATGAGGATAGTTTGAATGTAATGTAAATAATAATTTTTCATCCCAGAAAATCAGACAGAAGGTGATCAGGTGATAATAAAAACAAAAGATGAGGATATTACAATATAAACAATGATAACTCTTCATCCCAGAAATTCAAGCAGAAGGCAATCAGGTGATAACAATAAAGATGAGGATATTAGTCAGAATGTAAATAATGGTATCTCCGTATCCCAGAAATTCAGACAGAAGACAATCAGGTGATAATAACAACAAAGATGAGGATATTAGTTTGAATGTAAATAATGTAAGCCAAGAACAATAGTCTGAACTAATCAATCTATTAAGAGACTATTTTATTCTCTTTCAAACAAGTTTGGATGTTTAAAAAAAAAAAAAAAATAATGGGATGTGTGTAAGAAAATTAATTACTATCATCAGCTTTGTTTTTTCTTGTTTGCTTTTAAATTTAAACTGATATTTCAAATTTAATAATTCTGAAAAATATTAACCCACATTTTAAAAAAATATTTGATACATCTGCTTAAATAGGCAGATTTTTTTATTTTTTTTTATGTATGTTTGAAATAACAAGAAATGCAAGATGTCTGTCTCATTGTGGTCTAATAGTCAGCCAGTAGGATTTGTAGCCTGTTAGTAGAGACTTTGGTCCTCATTTGTATCCTTGTGCTAAAACTGTTTACACTTAGTTTGGGCTGAAGACTACAAATATGGGCATCCAGTGAGGATCAAAGTCAGGGTCTGTGACAAGGATTTAAAGTTTTACATGACTTTGCTTAATTTTTTATGAAAATAAATTTGAAAATGAAACCATATGTATCCGATTTGAATAGAATTATCCCCTGCAGGTGAATAATAGTTGGATCTATTTGACTACTGAGCAAATGGTGAACATAGTTGGTCTTTTTCCCAATATAGTAAACTTATAAAGTTTAGGTAAATTCTGAAGTATTTTTCCCCCTTCCTCAAGAGCAAAGAAGAATTATGGCAAGAAATTTTCAGCTCTTGAGAAAATGGAAAGTCAAATAGACACTCTCAAAATAAACAAAGCAAATACAAGTGACCACTGGGGGAGGGAGTCAGGGAATTTTTAGAAATCAAAAAGAATACCCCACTGATCATTGATAATATCTAATTGAAAATTAAGAAGAGAAAGGCAATATTAGTTTTTATGATGCTAACAGAAACCTGACAAAAACAAAGAAACCAAAAATGGCATAGTTTCCTGGTTTCTTGCAACAGACGAACAGTTTTAGTCCACAATCTCCAGTGATCTTTCTCTGTGCTGCTCCTGCTTTTATTTTTTATAATAAATTTGTATCAAATTATGTAGGATTCTTTGCAGGTATATAATTTTAGCGTTTGGGGAAAGGCTGCACTCTTATTTCTAGATGCTTCATATCATCCCCCCCCCACACACACACCAAAAAGAGACTAGTAACCCTCTACCTACTGAACGAAAAGGGAAAAGGAGGAAGAAAGAGATAAAGGGGAAAAGGAGAGATAAAGGGGCAAAAAAGGGAAAAGGAGAGATAAAGGGGCAAAAAAGGGAAAAGGAGAGATAAAGGGGCAAAAAAGGGAAAAGGAGAGATAAAGGGGCAAAAAAGGGAAAAGGAGAGATAAAGGGGCAAAAAAGGGAAAAGGAGATAAAGGGGCAAAAAAGGGAAAAGGAGATAAAGGGGCAAAAAAAAAAAAAAAGAGATAAAGGGGCAAAAAAAAGGGAAAAGGAGATAAAAGGGGCAAAAAAAAGGAAAAGGAGATAAAGGGGCAAAAAAGGAAAAAGAGATAAAGGGGCAAAAAAAAAAAAAAAAAAGAGATAAAGGGGCAAAAAAGGGAAAAAGAGATAAAGGGGCAAAAAAGGGAGAAAGAGATAAAGGGGCAAAAAAGGGAGAAAGAGATAAAGGGGCAAAAAAGGGAGAAAGAGATAAAGGGGCAAAAAAGGGAGAAAGAGATAAAGGGGCAAAAAAGGGAGAAAGAGATGAAGGAGAAAGAGATAAAGGAAGGAGAAAGAGGCAAAGGAGAGGGAAAGGGGCAAAGGAGAGGGAAAGGGGCAAAGGAGAGGGAAAGGGGCAAAGGAGAGGGAAAGGGGCAAAGGAGAGAGAAAAGAAGAGGGAAGGAGAAGGGTAAGAGAAAGGAAAGCAAGAATGAAATATAAAAGGAGAGCAGAGGAGAGATAAAATATGAATGGACACGGAAAATAAACGTCTTCAGCTGAAAGAACCAAAGAATCTTGTTTAGTCTTCCAAATCTGACACCAAAGAGTTTTTCAGATTTCAGACAACCAAGGTAACTAAAAGTTTTCATATTATGAAACTTTATAATGTAATTAAAAACAAAAGACATTAATAACGTTCACAAAAGGACACGGATTACAATCTTATCACATTAGCAAAATGGATCATTGCACCAATTTTAAGAAGAAAATAAAATTGTATAAGAGAAGAGGGAAAAGAAGTTTTCTTTTATTTTAAATAAACTTTTTTCTTTGTCAACAGGAAAATAAGTAGCAACTGAAATTGTGTTTTCACACGAGGAAAATACTTGAAAAACGTTAATCTTGTTATCTGTGTTTATATGTTAACATATTGTATTATGTCACTTTAATGATAGGGGGTTACATATTCCAAATACAAAAAGGCAGGAAACTCAAAGACTTCACTTCTTTGCTTTTCTTGGACTTATCAGAAAAATGATGAAGTTACGATAATGGTAATATGAGCCATTTACTTATACATTCGGTATTCAATAATCAAGCAGCCAGTTAGAGACGGTAATCAGCAAGAAAAGACAACTTCTTTTTAAGAGGTAGAAAGGAAAAAAAAAAAAAAAATGAAAGGAAAATTGGAAAACATTGAGATTCTGCAAAAACATTAACTTGGAAAATTCTTTGTAATAAAATGAGATCTATTTGATAAGTAATAATACCTGATGCAGACCCGGGGGTGGGGGATGTCAAGGGGTCTGGAACCTACACTGCTTGGGAAAAGTACAAAAAAAAAAAAAAAAAAAAAACGAAACAAAACAAAAAACAAATTTTTTTCTAAATACTGAGATAAACAAATTTTATAAAAATAGAAATAACTAAAAATTACTATTTTCTTTTTCATGCAAAATATGAGGTGCCTGCAAAAGTCTCCAACGAAAAACTGTTTTTTTTTTTAAAAGCAGGAAACTCAAAGACTTCACTTCTTTGCTTTTCTTGGACTTATCAGAAAAATGATGAAGTTACGATAATGGTAATATGAGCCGTTTACTTATACATAAAGGAGGAGAAAGTTACACTTTTTTATTTTAATAAAAAAAAAAAAAAAAGCACTGAAAACTTTTGGGCACACACAAATCAAGATGTCTTTTTAGTTTTAGTTTTATATTTTTGTTTTAAAAAAGGTAAAATTTTGTTTTTTTTTATATATTTTTGTTTTAAAAGGTAAAATGGAATTTGCTTCTCTGATTGGCAAAAACAACCCCCCCCCAAAAAAAACCCAACTATCTCGATTAGTAAGAATTGCTACAAAGACCTAAATAAAAGGAGCTCATTTGCATAAGCACAAATAATGTTACAATTCTTGTAATCATTACTCTGCCAGAATGTTAGTTGAGAAATGATCACACTTGGCTAGGCCCATGGGAGAGAAAGTCAGATGTCATGGAGGCTTGAAACTTTCTATGACCCCAAAATAGCCACCATGAGGAAGAATTCTACTGTGTAATATATGCGTATAAAACAAACTGTAGTAAATTTCTTTGATTATTTTTTTTTTTTTTATTTTCTTTGATGTTATAATTTTATACAGGAAAATTGCCTGAATATGCAGAAAGCCCACAAACTCTCTACAACAATACTAATCCCTAATTCTGCCCTACATAATTTTTTCATTTGGATCCCCTACAGTGATCAAAATCCTGGATCCATCCCTCAATAGGCAATAATTAAAATATTATTGATAATGTTCATCAGGATCATATTAACAATTATGAAAGAACAGGCTTTAGATTAAAGGCCCCCAAAATTCCAACACCTGAATGTTAAGTTTTAAGTTAATATAGTTACCTGGTGGGTGGGTTCAATCCTTTGGTGAAGCAGTAAAATTCATATAATCTGGTTAAGAGGAAAAAAAAAAAAAAAAAAATGAAATTAACTAATATATTATTTTCCCAAACATAAGAAAAACAACTCTGTGGATTGCGTAAAGTATTTGCTCTTATAATACCAGATACTTGATAAATACAAGAGATAAAAAAAAAAAAAAAGGAAAAGAAAAAAAAAAAAAATAAAAAAAAAAAAAAAAAAAAAAAAGGAAAAAAAAAAAAGGAAAAGAAAAAAAAAAGGAAAAGAAAAAAAAAAGGAAAAGAAAAAAAAAAAAAAAAAAAAAGGAAAAGAAAAAAAAAAGGAAAAAAAAAAAAAGGAAAAGAAAAAAAAAAAGGAAAAAAAAAAAAAAAAAAAAAAAAGGAAAAAAAAAAAAAAAAAAAAAAAAAAAAAAAAAAAAAAAAAAAAAAAAAAAAAAAAAAAAAAAAAAAAAAAAAAAAAAAAAAAAGACTAAAATAACCAGGATGAGGACACCAGTCACTATTTAAGCAACAATTAGAATAAATAAAATTTTTAATGTTTCTATCATATGATAGAAACATGTGATATGTGATACCACCAATTGCATAAAACACAAGCATACATAGAATTTGTATGTTTACAAAGGGGCTGCTGAAATTTTTTTTAGCCCTGATATTATAATCTTAACCTCATCAAAAACAAAAAAAAAACATTATTTGCCTTGCTTTCTTCATTTCCTACCACTTCTTAAATTTGCATCACACATCTCATTCAGTAACCCTCTATTTTGAGTGACTCTCGAGCCTTGTATCGAGTGAATTTTATAAAAAAAAAAACAAATCAACCCAATGCCATATCCCTTCAGGACATAGGCATTCATAGCTCACCACAGATTACTTTTATTATCAGTGAATTGCTATGATTTCTTGAGAAAGATTATGAGAAGTTTCCTTGTTGTCTTCTCCACAGTTTTAAATCAAACATTGTCCTTCTCCGAGACTGACTGCCAACCAAGGCCAGAGAGCCCAGATTAGTTTGCTAAACATTACACTCACATAAGATGTCTTCAATAAATATATACATTTTTCTTATATTAAAGCAATTATTAGAGGGTTAATTTGGCAAATTATTTCTTAGGTGTTCGATTTTTACCAAGGGTTTCATGATATTGACTGTGAGCCTAATTAAACCAGGACACATTTTATATCCAAAGGACATTCATAAGGTGTATAAATAATTAATTATAGAGCATGGCTTAGTCTGCTACAAGGTCATGGGAACATGAAACGAAAGAGGATTGAGCCCATTTTTATTTTCCTTTCAGGATGTAGGTGATCATGTCTCTCCAGATATGCTTTATAATCTGTATATTGCCATGATTTCTTGGCAAAGATAGTAGAGTGATGATTTCCTCAGTCTGGAATTCAGTTTTCTTAGACTGGGTGCTACCCTAGGCTAGAGCCCAGTGTACCCTAGGATTTAGTTGGGATTTAACAAACCAAAGGACTCCACTCTTACCAAATTCTATATACTTTCTTAATCATACAATTTTTTTTATAACAGAAGAATATAGCAACACCATTTGTTTTATTTTTAATCAAATAATTTTAACACTTTAGTGAAATTTCAAATATATTTTGAGCGGGTCAATATGGGGCCAAGTCAATCAAAAAATGTTTTCCAGTTATAAATCACTGAGAATAATCCATATGTTTAAAAGCAGGCCTTTAAAAAAATAAATAAATAAATAAATAAATAAATAAATCAAATTACGTCTAATAAACCTTACTAGCTCGAATGACACAGGGAATTGAGACATCTCTGTCTATTATGCTCAGATACAATATGGATACATTACTAGAAATTTGTTTCAATATTTAGAGCCAAAAATATACAAGAGAAAGAAGACAACACAGTTTGATTTGCCCGAGAACATTACACTTGATCATCAGTGAATATCTATGCATTTTATCGGTGCACATTCAAAATTCTAGATAACCAAAACCTAGTGGCTCATCTTTCCTAGGTAAGTCAATAAGGACCGACTTGTAAAATACGATGCATAAACATTTTCTGCAAAGATGCTATAGAGTGAAAAAATCAAAATAACCCTAGAAATACATGTTACTAAAAAAAACATTAACTCAACAAAATTTTGTCAAAGATAATTTTGATCTTCAAGATCTGTCTGGAATATAGCCAACTATTTCAAATATCAGGAAAAGGGGTTGCTTCTCCTTCATGCAACTGGACAACCAATTAGAAGTAAGCCTAAAGTACACGCATGAACAGACATTCTCCCATAAGGTTATTCAGTCAGCAGTGACATATCGTGTAAGCTTGTGTATTGAATGATGTTCACATTCATACAAATATGCCTCAAGTTTCAGGATAAACATTTACATTTTGAATGAGCTTTGCCAGATGACCCAATGAGCAAAGCCGATACAATTTTGGTACCTATGTCTCAAACTTGGCCAGGAATCTATTGAAAGTGGTTCAACCTTTGAAAGACCCTGAGCAAGCAAAATACCTGAAAATGCAGAATACATGTGGGCTGCCATCAAAGAAAAATTGCTGATGGATTATGCGATAATTAGAAGATTTGGAGATTTTACAGAATGTTCCAAAAGTATCAAAAAGCCATTTTGATATACTGATATACATTCTTTATATCCTCTGTGTGTGTGTGTATATATATATATATACACACACACACTACAATCAGAGCCTGTATTTATTAATCCATCTGCTAAATGGAAGAATGTAGCATCATCAATTTTATAGGGAGGGGGCCTAAAGTGTACATACGAGGCAAGACAGGAATTGTTATCAGAGCAGCCAATGTTATACACATATCAGTGTAGTCTGACCCTCTTCCTTAGATGCAATATGTGAGAAAATCCCCCACCCACCTTGACAGGATTCCCCTATATCAAAGATATAAACATAGTTTCATGTCCCGCATCATAATACAGAAACACAACAGGGCAAGTGGAACATATCGATCCTTCTAAATTCTGTCATTTTTTATGGGTACTATGCTAATGATCATAATAGTCAATAAAAAACATAAAAATTATAAAAAAAAAAAAAAACAAAGAATTTAAAAGAGAAATAGGAAAGAAATATCAAGGGAAATCCCAGGCAAATGTGAAACATGCTGACAAATTCATAGAAAGCAGGAAAAGAAAAAGAAAATACAAAAATGAATAAAAAGAAAGTAACATCAATATCAGAAAGAAACTTTAAAGGA